CCCTGACTAATTAATTCTAGGATCCTGTTAATGAGAAAGGATATTTGATGAGCAGCTAGCAGTGTCTACCTATTACCATACGGCGATTTCCTTCTCCTAACACGTCTCTGTCTTCCTCAGGGTGACATATGCTTCAGAGAATATTTGTATCCGCTCCAGGAGGTAGACAGCGATGAGTTTAAGTGATTCAGGGTGACCCATTTCCTCTTATCAATGATTAATTTATGTATTGATATATGACATCATTTTGGGCAAGGAGATTTGAGGGAACCGGTACCCAAGGGCCTTAGGGAAAAGGTTCATTCTTCCTAAAGAAAGACTCAAGGAACTGAAGAGTGATTTTTCTGCTTCTGGATAGTGTTGTGTGATGTGTTTGTTGGCTGGAGCTGTGCAGCGATGTTGTAAACATGAGGGGAGCTAGATTGGTAGGACAAAGCTAACAGGCTGGGGTTGGCCGAAAGGAAAGATGGAAACAAAGCCATGTTATTCAAGAGGCCACTGAGCTCCTGAATTAGTTGGAGTTCCTTTTCTTCCAGACTTTTCTTTTTTATGTGTGATGATAACATTTCTTGTGGCTTGGCTGTTTTCAGTTAAATTTTTCTGCTGCTTGCACCTGAAGGGATTCTGATACTTTTGTATGATGCAATCAGTAGAATGGGTCCATTTAAAAAATAAATGTACCTTTAAATAACAGAACTGCCTCTCTAGCTTCGTCTGTTCCCACTTGTCCCTAATTTGCTGCTGTTCTTCTCCCAGGCCAGAGGGTTCTCATACGAGTGCTGTTCCCTTTGCCTGGGATGCCATCTCCCAGACACACGTTTAGCTTCTTCCATCCCTTTATTTTGTCTCCACTCAACTGTTTCCGTATCAGAAAGGCTTCCCTGACCGCCCTCTCTAAGGTAGAGCTCACCTTTCCTCCCTGCCCCATCAGCTGCTTTATTCTTCTTCACAGAACTTGCCACCGATGGGAAGAGCACACACGGCCTTGTCGGCCTGACTCTCCTTATCTGGTGTGTAAGGTTCATGGCAGCAGGGGCTTTTTCGTCGTTGTGAACTGCTCAATTCAGTTCCTTCCATAGCGTCTGGTACATCGTGGTCGCTCAGTATATATCTGAGGACTAAATAAAAAAGTTTGCCCAAAGCTTCACTTCTAGAGCTTCCATTTTGCAGTGATTAAGAGTGCAGCGTTTGGAGTCAAACACCCCTGACTCAGAACTCTGGCTCTGCCTACTCGCTAGCTCTGTGGACCCGGCCAAGGTGCTAAGCCTCATTTCTCGGAGAACATAGTTTTTAAAAGCGTGGGTCACCCACTTGTTGTCAGAAAAAACTAAGATAATGAATTGAAGCACTGAGGCGGTCACGCCAGGGATGCACGTGCGTGGTGGGGAGTGTTACTGCGCCACAGCGAGAGACCCAGGAGCCAGGGTCTTCACTTGACCCAGGCGGGTGCTTTGACCTGACACTTGCAACGTTTCATCAGGCAAAATGTGGGGAAACTGTAAACAGGGAAAACTATTACCAACGTCTGGAAACGGCTGTCTGCCCAGGTCAGTGGTAAGAAAATGAGCACATTCTGTGTAAACAGATGTTATTAAATATGATGTGTTGCCAGAGCGTGGGATCACACGCCATCTGCCACCGCAAGTCCTCCTGCGTTCCTTTGAAGAGAAGCATTATTTCCTCCTCCTTCCAGCCGAAGGCTGACCAGCATAAATACTGCTAATAGCCAGATAGTGGAAGAAGTATCCCACTTAGCTATTTTTAGCTTCCCCTTGAAGTCTTGTATTTCACATTTTAAGTTTGTTTTCAAAGTTCTCTTCCAACCCAAATAAATTCAGGCTCAGAAATGAAAGGACTTAGGTTGCTGCTTGCCGATTCTCTAGGGAGTACTCCACGAGGCCAGCTCCCGCGGGATGCTGGGTGGTTGGGCGAGTAGGTTGGCCTGCCGCTCAAGCGCACTGCAACCTTCTGTGTGTCCACCTTGGTGAGCTCCTTGAGACTGGGAGCGTCCTCCTCAAGGAGGCACCCGACTTTTTGTTTGTTTGTTTTTGTTTTTTAGCTGAGCCATCCTGCCACCTGTTGGCAGCTCAGCGGCTGTTCAGCTCAGGCCGGGACTCGAACCGCGGTTGCTCAGAGCTCAAGCTCTTGAGCGATCTCTTAACCAACTGAGCCACTCGGCAGGCCTGGCACCCGACTTTCTGACCTTTCCAGATAGTCCACTAAAACATCATCTTTCAGGATTTTCCATTTAGATTCTGTAAAACCTCTCTGTTTGGGTTATCCTAGTCTCTGTTGCGGTTATTAACACACTTGATAAAAAGCACATTTCATTCATTCATTCATTGAATCATTCATTCATTCAACAAATAATTAACGGGTACCTACTGCATGCAAGGCGCTGTGGTCTCAGGGCACTTCTTTTCTAGTAGAGGAGCTAATAAAGCACTAGTAAGTAAACATTTAATCAATTTATAAATCAACACAGAATTGAATAGAATATCTGTTATATGAATTAGAATTACAATTAATAAAATAAGTGCATTTATCCATACGCGACAACCTTGATATAGTACTTATTACATGCTGGGTGGTATCCTAAGCTCTTTACGTATTAACTTGTTTAATGCTTCCTTCTTTTACCAATGGGGAAACTAAGAACCCAAAAAAGTTAAGTATCTTTTAAAAGTCCTATGGAAGTTAAGTGGCCAGTGGGATTTGCAGGTCAGCCATATGGATTTTCGAGTCCATCTTGTAGCCGGATGACAGTACTCTGTGTGATCTTTAAGGCAGCCCATGGACACGTGGATGAGGTATGGAGCTGGACAATGATGAGGAGTGTGACAGGTAGATGGGTAGGGGTCACTCTCATGTGGGGAAGGCCAGGCAGAGATCTCAGGGATGAGAAAGTGTCAGCAATCTGGGGAAAAACCCTGTAGGTTGAGAGACGAGAAAGTGCAAAAAGCCTGAAGCAGGAAGGAGTGTGGCATATTTCAGGGACAGAGAAAAATCCCATGTGACCAGGGCTAGTGACCAGGTCAAGCGATGCCAGAGGGGAGCAGAGGGTGAAGAGGAAGGCAGGAGGGCAGCTCCTGGTGGGCTTTAATTTAAATGCCAGTCTCAAAAGAAAATGGCTCAATGAATCATCTTGCTCAGGGTTTTGTGGTGGCCGGCATTTGTCACAGAGCTCAAGGAGATGCAGAAAGCCTATTTCCCATCATCTCTTGTGGCTGAAAACCTTTAAGCATTTTTGAATCTTTCCTTTCTTAGTAAGTACCTGAATAGAATTGACTTTCTCCAGAATAACTAGTGGTCTGACCTGGGTGGCAATTCTGGACCCATTGAGCCATGTGGAGCCCCAGTAAACTTGCAAACTTGCAATAATTTGAGCGGAACTTACACTAACCTCTAGACTTCCCCGAAGCGGTGCTTCCTTAGTGGTAGATTAAAAATAAATTCTGAATATTAGATTATTTTCATATGATTTACATGCTTTCTAAAAATGGGACTCAGGGGTCATAAATAGGAAAAAAAAAGAAGGTGGGCTTTATGCAATCAGTTTCCAGTGAATCAAGATTTTACTGTCATGCCTCCACAGTGGGGACTCTTCATGGACTAATGGCTTTGGCCCGCTGACAAAAGACTTGGGTTAAGGGGTAAATAAATAGCCTGGCCAATGATCCAATATTTTGTCACAAAATTTATGCACTGGCACTTCTTGGAATTGATACAATCGGTTAGTGACCTGAGTAGACTAATCAGAACACATCAGCAGTCCTGATAGTTAAAGCACACTGAACCCAAACTGATCACTATGAGGGGCAAAGAGAAGCCCATTTTGATTGCTCTTCAGAGAGGGAAGTGTGGGGATTTTCACAGCACACTCATCAAGAGAATGTTAAGAGTTCAGGCAGCCTGAGTTAGAATTCCCAAATTCCCAATTCCTTGCTGTGTGACCTTGGGAGAGTTACTTAACCTTCCTGAGCCTCAATTTCCTCATCTGTAAAATGGGCATAAAATGGCACCTACTTTGTAGGGTTGTCATGAGAGTAATTGATACATGGATCAATAATTGATTAAATTGATGTAAAGGAGTTAGCTCAGAGCCTGGTGTGAGTGAGGCTTCAATAAACTTACGTATTTGTTTCTTTTTCCATCACACCCTTTCCAATCTTTAGTCTGTGGCCCCAGTGCTGCTGTCCCATAGCACATCTCTGCATGGCCTCAGGAGGGAGTCGAGAGGACAGATCGAGGTCCACTGTGCAGTAATGGGAGAAGCCATTGCATGGTGCCCTGCAGAGAACCTGCCCCTTACAAAGGAGGGTTTGAGCTAGGGCAGGGTTTCTAGTGATATCCTGGAACAGATGATCCTTTGTCGTGGGGACTGTCCTGTGCACTATAGGATGCCTAGCAGCATCTCTGGCCCCACATACTAGATGCCAGTAGCACACACCCAACCCCCGCAAAAAGAAAAACTTGTGATAACCAAAATATCTCTAGACATTGTCAAATGTCCCCTAGGGACAAAACCAAAACAAATGAGGACAAAACACTCTTATCTCTCACACAAAAATTTTTATAAAATATCCTTGAAAACTAGTTTTTCTATGAGTGAATGTATAGATCAAAATATTGTTGGACTCAACTATAACACATAGAACATAATCACAACTAATCAAGGTTCCTGGATTAGAAATGATGGCCTGGACTCTCAGCTCCACCCCTCACAAGCCGTGTAACAATGGCTAAACTGCCACTGCCTCAGGCCTCAATTTCTTCATCTGTAAATGGGAATTGTCATAGTACCTAACTCAGCACAGTGCCGGAAACATCCCTTTCTCATGGGCTCTGAACATTTGCAAAAACATATATAGCATAGGCCATGCGCCAAACACAGTGCTAAGTTGTGTTCCAAAAATCAACGTGTATAATGATAAAATAACCACACGAAATAGGTGTTATTTTGTTCCCGTTTTATAGGTAAGGAACCGATGCATCCAGAGTAATTTACCAGTCACAGAGCTTGGGAGTGTAGCAGTTAGCGGGCACAATTATTCTGCTATCTTGCTTCCTTGACACTGATATTATTTAGAATTATAAAACCATCTGCAACCAGAGCAGAAGAAAGGTCAGTCCATCTCCATCTCCAGGATCCTTCTGCCTTGGAATAATCCAGGAATTTTAGGGCACTTGCTCCATTGATAGGGTCAGTTATTTTCTGTATTCATCTGCTAAAGACAGGCCATTCAGGGAATCTCAGGGAATGTCTTCAGTTCAAAAAGGTGGCAGAAACTTTGGGATGCCTGAGCTCTGTGGTTGCTGCAGGGCTCTTGAAAACCTAATCTGGGAAGTGACATCCTATCACTTCCTGTGTAATCTATTGGCCATACAGACCAATCCTGATAGGATGGGGAGGGGATTACACAAGGATGAGAATACCAGGCGGCTGGGGTTCATCTCAGAGGCTGGCGACTGCACCAATTATATGTTGTAGGAAACTTTACAAAAAAAGATATACTTTGACCAGGAAGTCAGTGTTATAAAAGATTTAGCCTCACGTTGTAGATGATTGGTTCGCTTGGAAAGAAGCTCCTGGGAAAGACTGCAAATTCCTTTCAGGTAAAAGATAAAAAACATGATACATTAGGTCAGCTGCTATTTGAATTTAGATCTTGAAAAGCAAATAACGAGAAACCTCAACTTTGATGAACAGATATCGAGGCTAATGTATGTGGTTCTAGAATTTAATATATGTATAAGAATGCAGTACATTAATAAGTATCAGTATACTCATAGCCTTTAAAAATGTCTATTTGGTCAACCTTTGAGATTTTTTTTTAGCATGTCGAGGAGTAGAGATTAGATATGTACCACTCCTGATAGGAACACATAATTTTTAAAATATTACACTTCATTTTTCACAAATCATTATTAACTACAAGGCCCTGTGTGATCTGTCTCCTGCTTGGTGGGAAAACATAATCTCATCCCCCACAGCCTAGCTACACTGGGCAACTTTCTGATTCTCAAACACAAGCCCCTTCCTACCTCAGGACCTTTGCACTTCCTGTCCTTCTGCCTGGAATCCAGTCCTGCAGACTACCCACCCCTGGGCTGGCTTCCTTGAATTTCTGTACATAAGTGATTTCTTCATTAAGGCCTTTCTCTAACCCCCTTAGTGGTTCTCATTTTTGTTATCTGGTTTTGTGCTTCATAGCCCTCACTGCAACCTGACTTAGCTTTCTTTTTAAAATTGTTTATTTCCCATCTGCCCCTAAAAGTGTAAGCTCCTTGTTACACATGTTCAGTGGTCTATCCCCAGTAAACTAGCACACTATCGTGCACACAAGAGATGCTAAATAAATATTCTCTGCATTTGGTTTTGACTCTGAAGTTAGGTGACTAACATTTGGTTGCACTCACCTTTGATTTGCAGGCAACTGAAGTTTTGCTTATTTCCGGTGGCCAAGGGTGCCTTTCTTTGAGAGGATGATACCAAAACATTTGCTGTCTTGTGCACCCTGCGTGTGAAACTAAAATGTCAGGTGACATCAGAGAAAGAATTGGTCATGGCAGCTCTTTAAACATATAAACATATTAAACATGCAATGCACCAGTGCCTGGCTCGCAGAGAATTCCATCCTTAACACATTACACGTTGGGGTTTGCAGTCAAAGGCCACTTAGCAAATGTTTATCCTACGACGTGCTTTCCTTTTGTTTCCTGTAAGTATAGCTTCATGCCATGCCAGGATTTGAGGTCATAGAAACACGAGGAGGCGATTAACATATCAATGGAGGGATCGCCTTGGAATCTAGAATTTGGAATAATATTTGCATCTCAAGCTCAGAAGCTGCCCAGGCAAGCCTGTTATTGATTGCCTTTAATTTCCCCTTAAAACAGTGTCTGTTTCTGAATAAAAGATTAATCGAGGGGGGCTCAGTTTGCCGGGTGATTTATACTCGAGTTCTGCCTCCTTTCCATTCAGAAGCACGTTGCACATACGTCCCCACCCCTGAGATGTTTGAATTCAGTACCTCAAGAAACATTGCTGCTGATCACCAAAGCTTGCAGCTTAATTGAATTTGTCTTTGTCCACTTAATCTTTGTGCTTACAAAAAGTGGGGTGGGTGGGACTTAACGGAAAAAGAATGGACCTGAAAAATACAGATGCTCACTGAGGAGAGTGGGCTGAGGAAAGAGATTTAAAATGCACGTTAAAAAATGAAAATAGAGCGTGCCATTTAGAATGTCCGTGCTGTCTTCTCTTTGCTCTCTGCATTAACAGATACACCAGTATTGCCCCAGTATAAACATGGTGACCTGAAAAGTAAACTATTGTACCAGCTTGGAGCAGCTCTATCATTTTTGTCTTGGCTGTAAATTTCTATTTCCTTTTGGGGAAGAAAACACATGAGAGGAAAATGAAGATTTCTGTTTTGTGTAAAGTTTGGAAACCTCTTTCCATAAATGAATGGTTGTTAATAATAATAACATTAATAATAACAATAATTTATCAAGCACTTTTTTTTTCACCATTGTACTAAAGGCTTTCTACTCTTCATCTCATTTAATTTTGGCTCTGGAAGGAGATCCTATTAATATTCCCGCACAGACAAGGCTTGGAGAAATGCAGGAAGCTGCCCAAGTTTCTAAAGTGGAAGAGCCAGATTTTGAAGTATTTGATTAGAAAATCCAAGAATGCCACCCCATCAAGAGAAGTACATTCATTTGGGTTTGTCTCCATCTCCATTTATTATTTCAACATGGTGGATGCAGGAAGTGTGAGCTTTCTAGTTAGAAATGAAATCCTAGGTCTGTTTCCTACTACTTAGACTTAACCACTAGGCAGTGTCACCTCCCATGACCAAGTAGGATTCCTGGAGCTCTCTTCCAACGTGTTGACTTTGGTCACTCTACATGGTCACTCTCAGGGTTAGTGACTTACAATGCTGCAGAGATGCAAGCAGCAGAGAGGAAAGCTGGATCAGTAAGACTCAGAATACGACAATGACACGTGACAGAGTGACCGCTTACCCCTGCCAACAAGAATTATATCCCATGTTCCGATAAAGGGAGTGACACTCCCAAGATGTCACTCACTGAGAAGTTCACAATTTTGCTCTTTTCCTAAATAAACCTAATGATGGCCAAGGTTGGAGCTGCATGTGTGAGTGGTGGTCACATGGGTATTTTCTAGTTTCTCTCTTTGGTGGGGGACATAAAAAAAAATTTCTGATCTAGGACCACAATTGAGTTAGAATTAAAGCTCTGATAGAAAGAATGAGATCAGAGTTTGAAAGGTTAAAAAACTAATGTGCCAGGCTTTCTAATTTGGGATAATGTTTCTTTGTTCCCTAATTTTGTGACTCTCCACACTTCCCATGCATCTTTCCAATGATTGTTTCACTGACTCAAACTAAAAAAAGCAAAAAGCAAAACAAAAGATCATGATGGAGAATGTGCAGACCCAAGACAATAAGCAAGGCAGACAAAGGTCCAACAAATAATTAAATGGAGACCTACACTGAGCAAATAATTCCACAAACAATAGTTTAACTACCATTTTGATGCTTGCTATGAAAAGAAACAAACACAGGATGCAAACAGACTATATTTGAACTGTATCTAAACTTCTATCATACTTCCTGTCTACCTGTGGTTCCTTTTCCATTGACTTCACTACAGGGCATTGGTTGAGCCTATAGGCTCTGCAGTCTGACCGACCACAGGGTTTCAAATCTTGTTATCACTTAGTGGTTGTGTGACCTTGGAAAAGTTACTGAACTTATCTGAACCTTACATCCCTTAGCTATAGAATGAAAATAATATTGGGTTGTCGGAAGAGTCATGACGCGTTTTTGCAATGAAAAACAAAAAATACAACATGACTTTTCTGACAACCCAATAGAAAGACCTACTCATGGAGTTATCATTAGAATCAAGTGAGATGACCTACGTGAAGCACTTTGCCTTAGCAATGGATACACAGCAGGTGCTCAATTAAGCTGGGTTGTTACTAGTCTCTGAAAGTGATATCTATGTGCTTTCTCTCCCGCATGCCAAGAAGTCCTGAATTCTTTGCTCATGATGTGACAAGGAACATCATTTGGAGAGTGACTTACCAGGGTCAGAAGCCTGGATACTGCTCAGTAGCTGTGTGTCCTTTGGCAAGTCAGATGACCTCTCTGGACTCCATTTCCTTCATCTACAAAGAGAAGATGATAAATCCACTCGAACATTAGAGTTAATGCACATAAAACACTTAGCTCAGTAAAGGGCAGCTGCTCTTATTGTCACCTTATTATTTTTAGACTCTCTACAAAACATAATAACGCCCAACTATGCCTTTTAATCCCATAGTGTCAGTGGTGTTGACCCATCACTTTCTAAGTGGCATTTTGAGAGTCTTTCTCTATAGAGTGATAGTCTTCATCCTCTAATGTTTCTTCTGAAAGCTCTTATTTGCTGAGTAAATTTACAAGAGGGGTGGTAGATAAGGGATTTTGTCCTTAAAACACTTCTTTAATCTCCACAGTTGCCATGGAATTTGTGTCATTTTTGCTTGGGCGATCAGATTACGTTTCATAAACAATATCCCCTATGTTTAAAAATCTTTAAACAGCCACTTGGAAGTGGCCTGACATGGGCTCCAGCTAATGTCTCTTTGCTTTTGGATCGTCCATTGTCGGGGATATGAGATCAGCTATTTATACCAGCATTGGGTTCCTAAGTAGAGACCCATGTTTTTTTCAGAACGTTCTTTCCTCATTTGAAATAGTTCCTGAGTTTTCCGATATCTTCCTATAGGAGAATTTCAACACATCGACGGTCCCTTTGATTGGAATTATAGCTGTCTTTTAAAATTTCTTATTTTTCCCTGGTGTTCATCTTCGGTGTTCTTCACCCAGAACTTTCAAAGTCAAAATTGCCAGCTCAGCCTGATCTGTCACCAGCCTGGGCAATGGGGGAGAACTGGATATTTTAAATGGCCCTTGTAAATTTGGTTTTAACTCCGTTTTAATTCTCAAATTGAAGGATTCGAACTCCTGTTGCTCGTTGGTGATCCTGTTTTATGGGCTGCTCCTGTATGCTGCTCACGTGGCCTGTGCTTTCCAATGAAAGTTCTTCTCAACAGAGTCCTAGAAGGTCCTGCCTCCCAACATATACGAGTATCTCAGCTCATTTCGCCAATGTCACCCCTTCCCCTCTCCCCACCTATCCTCTCGCACCTTGATGGCACATCTGACTGCGCTCCTGTTTCCTTCTTGTCTGCCTTCACCTCCATTGTTTCGCAGAGCAGCCAAAATGGCTTTTTAGGGCCGGCAGAGCTTGCTCAAGAGTTTGAGCTCTGAGCAACAGCGGTTCGAGTCCAGCCTGAGCTGAGCAGCCACTGAGCTGCCAACAGGTAGCAGGATGGCTCAGCTAAAAAAACAAACAAAAAAAATAACAAAGCAAACAAACAAACAAACAAGATGGCTTTTTAAGAGCCTTTCCTAACATTCCACCCCTTTGCCCCAGCTAAAACTGCTGGGCCATTCTGTCCCAGTCTCTGCTGTGCCGGCTTCAGAGCACTGAGCAACATCTTGAATTGTCTTTTATTTGTTTATTCTGACTTTGTTTTCATTCCCCGTCTAGAACAGAAGCTCTCAGCCTCGGCACCACTGACCTTTGGGGTGGGTAACTTTTTCTGTGGGGCCGTTCTGTGCATTGCAGGGTCTCTGCTTAGTAGAGGCCTGTGGCATTTTCGTCCACCCCCCTGAGTCCTGACAACTAAAAATGTCTCCAGACATTGCCAAATGTCTTCTGGAGGTCAAAATTGCCTCCTGTTGAGAAGAAATGCTGGTCTAGAATTTAAGGTCTTGTCTCAGCCTCAAACAGCGCCTGGCACATAATGAGGAGTTAACCGATTACTTGTTGAAGGGTTCAATGAGTAACCTTGAATGGTAGTTGTTTTCATCCCCATTACACAGAGCCGCTGAGGCTCTGGAGTTGACGTGACCTGCTCAGGGTGACACAGCCAGCACGTGTTGGAGCTGTATGCCACCCAGGTCGGTCTGAAATCCAAGTTCAGTCTCACTACTTTAGGCGACACTAATATGCAGATAATACAATGATAATGCTGCCTAGGCTCTTTCCTTGTTGTTCACTTCGATGTGCTTCCACAAATAGCCTCAATTTACACTCCACTCTATGCAGGAGATATCATTCCAAGCCCATTATTTAGCTTATTTCATCTGATTTTTACATAGTGCAGAAACTAACAATACGCTTTTCACATCAAGTAGCAAGATCTTCTTAGAGAGAGTTATCGTTGTGCTGAACACCGTGATAGCTTTTAAAAAAAAAAATCAAGCTTTTGACTAGTTAATGCATTCACATGGTTCGAAAAGAACACAATACACAAAGGAATACAGTGAGAAGACGTGTATTCTCGTCTCCCTCTGACCCATTCTACCTCCATAGGTCCCTTTTATTAGTTTCTTGGGTGTCCTTTCAGTATTCTTCTGTATGTGAAGCACATTTTCTCGTTCAACCTTTCTTTCACTTCCTCAAGACAAAGTCTGGCATACCACACTTCCTCTTCGGCGTCTTGCCTTCTTCGCTTAATGTCCCCTGATGTCTTTCTGCCGTAGAGCAAAGAGAGCATCTGCCTCCTTTTTCACAGCTGTAAAATATCCCACTTTACGATCACAATCACGTGTATTTAACCAGTTCTCTGTGGCAGGGTATGTGGGTTGTTTCTTTCTTGTCTGTTATTATATAAACAGTGCTGACACGAATAGGCTCAGTGTTTATTATTTTCCTGAACTTATCAGAGAGAGAATTCTTCCTCCTCTCCTCCCCTCACCCCTTCTCTTCTCCTTCTCCTCCTTCTTCTTCTTCTTCTTCTTCTTCTTCTTCCTCTTCCTCTTCCTCTTCCTCTCCTTTTTATGCTTGTGAAAGAATAAACAGGACTCAGGCTCAGTAGGATTTTGCCGTGCAGATTTGGAAGGAAGAACATTGTAGAACTGCAGAATGCTAGAATCCGAGGACTGTAGTTTGCAAAGTACAAGCCATGGGTCAAATTGGGCACACCACCTGTCTTTGTAAATAAAGTTTTATTTGAACATAGCCACACTCATTTGTTTATTTATGATCTACAGTTATTTTCACTCTACAAAGGCAGAAACTGTATGGTCCCCAAAGCCTAAAATAGTTACTGTCTGGCCCTTTACGGAAAAAAAATTTGCCCACCCATGGTGTTGGGATGAAGTACTTAGGCTATGAATCAACAACCTGCATTCACATCTCAGTTCTACTACTGACGTCTGTGTCATTTTGGTTACATAGCTATGAAATGGGAGTAGGAATCTCTGGATTGATGTGAGAAGTAAATCCAATGATTCTAGTAAGTGCTTACTCAATGATAGTTATTATGACTCATCTAAATGAAAGACTTTCAAGGGTTTTCCCATATTCTTGATGTTCTAGATTATAATCAGAGTGGATCTTTTCTGTCCTTATGAAAGTGAAACATCAAAAAGGTTTGAGAAATTTGGGCAGCCACCCTTCCTGTTCCAGGAATAAGAGATCAGAAAATACTTGCAGTATATTTGATGCTGATTAATAGAGCGGTGGCAACTTAGGATGTGTCCACTGGTATGCCATGGGACACTGTTTTTGGTCTATTCTGGATTTCATTTTGGTTCAGGGCTGAAAAACTAAGGTATACAGATGAAATTTCTATGAGACATAAAATGGGTATGATAGGGTCAGGTTTCACAGTGGTCTCCATAGTGTCCAACAAAGGACTGAAAGAAATGAAAGAATATTTGCCAGGGATTCATGTGGATTCTGGCATCAATTATTTAAGTCTGGGAATGGGGAGACTTGGCCAGACAGCACTTCCTGGGAAGTAGATCTGGGGCTCCTAGTTGGCCACAAGCTCAATTTGAGCCAGATGTATACAGCTGCCAAGGAAATGCTCTTAGGCTGCACTGGCAGAGTCAAGTATTATATGCCTTATGGGTCCAAAAAAGGTAAAGCAAGAAAACAATTTAAATAGCTATGACAGCCCACATTTGGAGAAGGGAGGTTAGTTACGGAGAAAAATTACAAATCTGGATGGGGACATTGCCAAAGTTATGCAGGCCTGAGGGGAATGTGGGGGAGTAGGCAGGTTGATGAGTCATGTGGGAACTGTCATAATGAGGAATGAATGACGATGTAGGGATGTTTCCGGGGAAAAGAGATGAGCACGAAGGAAGAGACAGTTTTCCAAAGCTCTTCCACGTGGAGGAAGCTGCCTTACCATCTCTATTGCTTTTTGGGCAAACCTTGGGGAAATGCAAGGTACTCACGTTTTGGGGTATCAGCTCAGCTCACAACAGTTCCTCCTCCTCTCCCCCATGCACCCTGACCCCACAGTCTCAAGGAAGGTGAGGCCCTGGAAGCCTCCTGGTTCTTCACGACCTTGGCTCCCTGTTGATAGCTGATCAGACGAGGGACAGATGCCTGCTGGAAGCCAGAACAATCACATTCTCTCTTCGGGGAATACAGAATTTGCCTTGGGGACTGCCAGTCAGCTGCCTCTCCAAGTGACTGAATCTATAATGTGTTAATTTGGGACACAGGGGCAGCCCTTTGCCACTATGACAACCAGTGGTTGAGAAAGTGAATCTACGGAGAGAAAAGAATGAGGTAGAGATGTAGAGAAACAGAGGTGAAAGACAGAGGGTCTTGCCTCGCTGTATTCTTTTCAGCTGTCATTCTTCGGTTTCAGTCCTTCCGGAAGCCTGGCTGCCTTCCTGGATATGGACTTCATGAGGTATCTTCGTGTCCTTGTTATAAATTCCCTCTTTTTACTTCTGCTAGTTCAGTTGGGTTTGTTCATTTGTAACTCAAAGTGTCTTAACTACTACAGAGAGCAGCAGAAAGTAGGTGGGAATATGGAAGACGTAATGGCAAATCCTGATCCACCATTGAAAGAGTAGCCTCAGGAAAGAAGGATATTTCTGTCTCTGGTGATTCAAGTAGATGCTGAATGACCCTACGTAACTGGGAGGCATAAGGCGAGAGCTTGGAGTTGGGCTTCAGAAAGACTTGGCATTGACACTGGGCCCTGCCGCTTTCCAGCTGTGGGAGCTTGGATGAGGTTCTTAAGCGTTGCTAAGCCTATGTCTTCTATAGACTGTGGGACAGAGGCACTCCTCATACAACTGTTGTGAGGATGAAATAATCTCACGTACTAGCTTCCTATTGCTGCTGTAAAAAATTGCCACAAACCTAGTGACTTAAAACAACAAATTCAGTATCTCATGGTTGTGGAGGTCAGAAATCCAAAGTGGGTTTCACTTAGGCTGAGGTCAAGGTGTCGGCAGGGCTGTCCCCCTGGAGGCTATAGAGGAGAACCCACTTCCTCCCCTTTTCTAGCGTCTAGAGGCTACGTGCATTCCTTGCTGGGTGGCCTCCATCGTCAAAGTGCATCCCTTCCACCTCTGCTTCCGTCGTCACATCTCTTCTGACACGACTCTCCTGCCTCCCTCATTTGCTTACAAGGACCCTGTGACTACATTGGACCCACCCAGATCATCAGCGATAATATCCCTATTGAAAAGTCCCTGCCTTCCAGGCTGGCTGAGTGGCTCAGTTGGTTAAGAGCTTGCCCAAGAGTTTGAGCTCTGAGCAACAGCAGTTCGAGCCTCTGCCCAAGGTGAGCAGACACTGAGCTGCCAACAGGTAGCAGGATGGCTCTGCGGGGGGGGGGGGGGGGGTAAAACGTCCTTGCCTTAATCACACCTGCTAATTCCCTTTTGCCAAGTAAGGTACCATATTCACACATTCTGGGGAGCAGGGTGTGGACATCTTTAGGGGGCCGTTATTCTGCCTACCACACTTAACGGCAGAAAGAGCTACCCTTTACCGAAAGCTGCCTACGCGTGAGACACTGTGCGGAAGGCTTTTATACAGATTATTTAATTTAAGCATCACCACAGTTCCAGGAGACTCAGAAAGGTAAAATGATTTGCCCTGGGCCACCCAGCTAGGAAGCAGCAATGCCAAGAACCAAGATTCATCATTTCACTCCAGAGCCCTCTTTCTTAACCACTGGCGAGAAATGGCAAACCCACGGGCCTTACATCAGGCAGGGGTGTGTGGTGAACCAGAGAGGACTCACGCTGTCTAATGGGGCAGTGGCTCCATTCCTCCAGCCCATAGGCGCCAGTTTTCCAGCAAATGCCATACATCTGGGTTATTCATGTGAAATGGCTCAATTTTCAAATGTCAGAAACCAATTCAAATATTTCAAAAACTTTGTGCAGGCAAATAATACAAACTGATGGGTGCATCTCACCCCTACCCTACCAGTTTAAGGTATGTTCAATACTACACTATTTTTTTTTTAAAATTTGATGATATCTGGCACACATAGTTATTTAGCATTTATTATATGCCTGGCATGATACTACATGCTTTACTGTCTTATCTCATCCACTAGTATGTGTTCTTAATTAAGAATTGAATTCCTTAGTTGGGAAGCTATTTTTATTTTTAATAGGATTCTTATTGGGGAGGGTAAGTCTCCCAGGAAGGGTCTGAAAGAGCAAAGCTTCTGCTGGTCTTGGTTTCCAAGCCTGGCTCCGTCATTTGACAAACTGTGTGATGGTGGGCAACTAAACGCATCTCTCTGAAGTTATTTCCTCGTCTATACTGTAGAGTTTGTTCATGGATTTCTGGTAGGGTTTTTTTTTTTTTGTAGGTGGAAGAGCCTACAGAACCTACACTGCACCACATAAATATTAGTTAAAATTCATAGAAAATTCATCAAATAACTTAATCATCAGGTCGACCACCCAGAGGCTGTAGTCCCTGTTGTGGATAAAAGGTTGAGATTAGATGTGAAGTTTTCAGCTGGAATTAGTCACATGTCGGGTCTCAGGGCCGGAGGGGAGGCCTCATAGCACAACTTCAGCTGTCTTGGAGCAAAGATGGACTTTTGCTGCTGGGAACAGCTCTAGTTCTGCCTCAGAGTCGTGGGCATCATCGTTTGGAGTTTCTTATTCACTATAAAGGTCTGCTTCCTAAAGCAGAGACCTATGTGTCCGAAGCGGCAGCCATGACTGGGTCTCAGGAGAGCCAGGTGTGAGTTGTACATTGGTCACTAATCAAATGGCCTTAGGACTTTTTTTTTTTTTTCTTGAACCAGTTTTTCCACCTGGCAAACTGAATGAGATCACATAGCCTACAGTCTATTCAGTTATTTTTAAAAATGGGCTAAAAGGAGATAAGGAATTCCTTGCCAACGTGTCTTAGAACTTTTCACATTTTCTTAACTGGTTTCTGTTTTAAAGGCATCCGGACACTGGAAGAAAATGTAAATGAAACTGTTTTATAATATTTATGTTTTAAAAGTTCAAAGTTCAAAGAGGTGAAAATAAAGTTTCCCTTCTTCTTTTGGTCATAGTGTCTTCATTTCCATGTTCAGCGAAAACCACAGTTACAAGTTTCTAGCATGTTCTTTCAGAGATGTTCTATGCCAGTGGTTCTCAACTGGGAGTGGTTTTTGACCCTAGGGGATATTTGATAATATGGACATAGTTTTGGTTGTCACAACTGAGAGAGGGATATTCCTGGCATCTAGTGGGTGGAGGCCAGGGATCTTACAATGCACAGGACACCCCCTCCATCCTCAGAGCAAAGAATTATCTGGCCCAAAATGTCAATAGTGCTGAGGTTGAAAAATCTTGCTGTATGCATGCATCAGCAAATATAAGCATGCACACACAAACACAGGCACTCCCTACCCCCCTCCTTTGTATGCACAAGTGGTAGATACATCACACGCTTCACTTCATCTTGTCCTTTTCACTTCACCATGGAGATAGTTCTGGATCTGCACAAATAGATCTTTGCAAACTGCAGAATATCCTGCTGTAGAGATGGGCCATTTGTTTACTCAGTCCCCTATTGGGAGACACTTACTTAGCTTGTTTCCAGCTTCAACAAACAATATTGCTATGATTATTCTTGTTCACAAATGCCCATATGCTGATGTCTCTGTCTGAGAATGCTAAGTGGCCCAACCAGGCCAAAGAGTACATGGCTTTAAAACGTTGAGGGCTAACCGGTTAGCTAGCTCAGTTGGTTGGAGCATCGTGCTAATAACACCAAGGTAGCTGGTTCGATCACCGCATGGGCCACTGTGAGCTGTGCCCTCCCTAAAAGAGTCAACTATGCCATTTGTATTAAACTAATGTGTAACCAATAACCATAGCTGTTCCCCAATACAGTTAAAAAAAAAGTTGATAGGTGTCACCAAAGGTCCTCCAAAGACAACCAGATCCCATTCTCACTGATGATGTAGAGACTGAATCTCGCTGACACCTTTACCAATGAAACATGGCCCTTCCATCTTTCAGTTGACTTCACTTCAAATAATTATACTCTTTAAGCCAATCGTAATTTCCAACCATTCATTTTTCAACAAATATTTCTTGTTTGTGCCAGGCACTGGGGCAGGGTGGGAAGGGAAAGACTAGATCTTGGTGTCTGCCCTCAAAGGTGCTCCCAATAGTCTAGGGGGACCGAGATAAGCCAACACACAGTTGTACCACTGTGCAATCAAGTCCATGAATTAGGCCCGGATGAAAGGCTATCGTCCAGCTTTCTGTTCTCATGTGTGTTTCTAATTTTTCCAGAAATTCCTGGAAATTAGATTTTTATGTGACAGGTCCTTATTTTGAAATACTGGCAAAGAAATCAAATAATTTTAAAGCATTTTGAGTGTCAAAGATATCAGGTCTGAAGGGTGGATGTGGTCTGTGGACTGCCAGCTGTCAGCCTCTGATGTTCAATGATTTGATTGCTTCTGGAGGAGACTACTGGATGCACAACCTCCCTGCATAGGGACCAGGGCTGTGGTATATACATTTGCATGCAACACTATTTTTTAAAGATAAATTCCCACAAGTGGAATTGCTCAATAAAATACAAGTTTCAAGGCATTTGCTATATATATACTGCCAAGCTGGCTCCCAGAAAGTTATGCTAATTTACATTTCTACCATCAGTAGACTGGAGTGCTTTCCTCTTGTGCCCTTGCCAACACGGGTTATTAACAGTGAAAACATTCTTCTGCCCATTTTCCGGTTAGAAATATTCTCATTGTTCTATTATGTTATTACTTACGATGTTCCCGGCTAAAATTAAAACACTGACCTTACCAAAGGTTGGCGGGAATCTTTGTAAACCTGGAATGCTCACACAACACTGTTAGGAGTGCAAAATGGCATGACCGCTTTGGAAAATAGTTTTCCCATTTCTTAAAATGTTAAATTTACACCTAACCTGTGATTCAGCCATTCCATGCCTGGGTGTTTATCCAAGAGAAAAGGAAACAAGAGGTGTGATCAAACAATATGGTGAATGTTAAAATAAAATTTTATTACAGTAAAAGGCACATTGCCA